TGGTTTTTCTAAATATGTTAGCTCAATAATCAAACATTGCAATAGTTTTGTTGCTACACCAGTTAAGCAAATTTAATTATTCAGTATCAAACCAAATTTGCTGAGGATATTGAAGTTCAAAGATGCAGCAACATTTTCTTTATTAATCCATTGAATAATTTTCTTTTTTTTTTTTTCTTTTTTTTACTACAACAGTTACAAATTTATAACAAATACAGTTTTTATATGAATAAATTCTCTCACTAAAACAATTTTTCCTTCATTTCATGTCTTATGAAAAATGATGGTGGTAGCAGTTGTTCTGAAATGTTCTGCAGTTTTTGAAAAATCATTTAAGGGTTTTGTGACAGAATCAAAATGAGAAGCAGTGAATAAAAAGAATATTAACTTAATATAGATATTCTTAAGAATTCAAACTTCTGACACTTGATTCTTTTAGTAAAAGAAGCAAATGGTGCAGCTTGGAAGAAAGACTTTTTTTTTCCCTAATCTCTATTATCTGCTTTGGTAAAAGTGAAAAGCTCTCACTTGTTTAATTTCTTTCTCTCTCGCACATTTTCTCCTAATTAGACATGATATTTAGACTACTTCTAATCAAAGTGCAAGTTTTCTGAGTTTACATCTCTATTAAGTATATTTAATTGAAAGTTTAAGGTGTGACTTGTCAACAATTGTTTTTATCAAATTCCATTTTGGAATGCTTATTTTTTTTAAGTTAGATTTGTAATTTTGGTTCTTTTTATTTATGATTAAATGAAAATGTGAAAAAAGCCTGGTGGGGAATACAAAGACTATCAGCTGTTATTCTCATTTTTCTCTCTTTAGAAAAAAAAATGTAGAAGATTAATCTAATTGTTAATTTTGATATTAGGCTGTTATTGGAGATAGCAAAGCAAATTTTGTTAACACTTAATGTCGTAGCATTGTCCAACATAAAATTTGGGAACAGCTAAAAATAAAGTAATTGCTTGAATAGAATTAGCAAATATTCTGTAAATATTTAACTCTTCCACGCACACATGCATGCGCACTTTTTAAAAACTGTTATCTTATTAACTAATAATTATTTTGCATTTGACAATTATAGTCTGGATTTTCCCCAGGTTAATAAGTTTAATGAGGGTCACACTATTGCTGCTATTTATAGCTGAATAAAGTTGGCAAACTCGAGGCTCATTCAAGCCTATATTGGCAGGAAAATTATACTGAAAGAGCAAGTGTGTTTTCTGGGAAGCATATTACACTAGTTCAGTCAATGTAACTTCTTTTACATTTAAAAAAAAAAAAAAAAAAAAGATATGCTTAATGAACATTGTTGGAGTTAATGTTGCAAAAATCCTGTCTTGATGATTGTATATTTGTGCTCATTTCCATTTTATCTTTGTTTAAAAAATAATACCAAAATGTCAGCTAATGGAATTCCAAATGTGTTTTTGTTTTTTAACAATAAAGCTAGGTCAGATACTATTGACCCATATCTTTGCTCCAAAAAGTTCCTATCATTATTTGCTCTAAGAAGTGCAAAATAATTAAATATCATATTAGTTGTTTATTATAATTTGCAAGGTAGTGCTGAAAAATTCTTGACCTAACCTACTTCCCAAATTGGGCCAAATAACCAAACATCAAGGGATATTTCTCTTCTCTTTTTTTTTTTTTTTTTTTTTTTTTTTTTTATTTGTTACGTTCTGATGGTCTTCTTGATCAAGCTGAATAACTTTCTAATACCCTCTTGTATATGCATCAAGGAATAAACGTGAATTTATAATGAACCTACCACAATCCACAGATTGTGTAGCCTCCAAAAACAGGTAATTATTATACCAGATTGTTAACATAAGGTCAGTATTGAAATTGAAAAATGTTTTAAAATTGTCTGAATTTAGGAAAGGATGTCTGCTTCTTGCTACTCTCTATCGGGATCTAAATGCTGAGAGGTGTGAAGCATGAAGTGTTCCGTGCTGGTGATCAATAATCCTCTCTCTGCTTCCTCTCTGGGCCCAGCATCCGGTGAAACTGACACAGAGGATGCAACCTTCTGAATACAACCTGGGCACCATCCTCTATATTTTAGACTGTCTCGGCCTTAGACTGATTCTATGGAGAAGGAAATGGCACAGAGGGAAGGGAGAAGATTGGGTAGCCATCTAGACTGCCTCGCCAAAAGGAAGTAACTGCTACAGCATAGTAGCAGTGGTAGTTTCCTCCTCCTCCTCTCTCTCTCTTTCTTTCTTCATGTGAATACCTCCTCACCAACATCTATTAACTCAGTCACTTCTCTCTGCCCACCACTTTGACAGCACCTCTCTCTCTCTCTCTTTCCTACATCCCCACTTACATACTCAATCACCTGTTCACAATGTTCAACTACAGCTATTTACTGATTGATCTGATTTCTATTTTTATTTTTTATTTTTTTCCCATCTCTGCTATCTGCAGTAAATGTATGAAAGATGCTTTGAGACTTCCAGGGAGAAATGGGCAGGTGTTTGAGCTTTTCATATTAACAATAATAATGTTACATATCTGGATGGATGCAACAACTACAATAACTAAAAAGAAAATGAAAAAAAAAAGATAGCAGAAGCAATTTCTGAAGCTTTTCCAACATTTTGATAAATTATCAAATAACTAGTCAATAAATAAATATTAAATAAACATATATATAATACTGTGTTAATAAAAATATTTGAATAAAAAAAGGCTGTGATAACTTGCATGAATTAATCAATTAGGATATCTATAATCAGTCTATTAAGACTAAAACCTTCAGTGCTATTAAAAGTCTTGTGTAACATTGAGTACATATTAACGGCAAGAGCTGCTATAGATAGACTAGACAATAAGAATTGCATTTCTAATCAGTCTAGTACTTGTAAGATTATAATGAAAGTGAAAAGGCAGAAGTTAAAAGGAGCACTTAAAACTCGGTGACCATGTAAGACAAAATCCAATTTTATATCTTAAATGGGGATGTGTTGGGTATAATAGTTTTAAATCTTAAAATAACTTCAGCAAGAATAATATCTAGCATTTTAAACCATATTATATTCTATTAGTTTACAGGAATAACATTAGACCTTTTAATAGTATCTTGATGATATGAGTGGGTAAAAATTGATCTTATTAGAGGATGCTAATTGGATGCTTTTTTCTTTTTCTTTTACATATTAGTTGTTGGACATCTGCATACATAATAGATTTTATTTCTTAGATTAAATGCAGACACCAGAACCTTTTTTATTTTATATATATATATATAAAAAACAGTAATTTGACTTTGCTAACCAAACACTTCCTCTGTAGCTAAATGGTATAGCATGTCGAGTTATATGATGGTTCCATGTAGGATATAGATTCGATTCCTGTCGGTGGACACATATTTTCTGCAAAATTTCTTGGACATTCTGGCCAGTAAATGTAGTTAATACTGTTTATTATAAACAGAGCATTTACTTAAATATTTGTATCTAAAGAAAAAAAAATAATGTATAAACTCTGTGTGTATATATATATATATATATATATATATATATATATATATATATATATATATATATATATATATATATATATATATATGGATTAAGTCTGACAATTACTTAATATACTTTGTGTTTATACATTATTTTTACAGATAAAATTTATTTAAGTAAATGCTCTGTTTTTAATTAAACAGTATTACATTTACTGGCCTGAATTTTTGAGAAATTTACCTGTATTCCTATACGGAAATGGTCATTTGACCTGATATGCTGTGCCATTCGCCTACAGAGAAGTGTGACAGTAATTTGTACTTTGATAAGCAGACACTTCTCTGTAGCTGACTGGTACAGAATGTCAGGTCAAATGACAGTTTCCATATAGAAATACAGGTTCAATTCCTGTCAGAGAACACATAATTTCTACAAGATTTCTTGAGCATTCAAACCAGTAAATGTCATTAATACTGTTTTTTTTTTTTGTTTTTTTTTTAATTAAATAAATAAAAAAACGGAACATTTACTTAAATAAATTGTACCTATAAAGATAATGTATAAACAGATATATAATTAGACTAGATAGAAAATAATCACTAGTAAGTATTGTTTTGGGTTAATGTCTGTCTCAGTTTTTCTGGGTTGAGTAGTTACCATTATTTACATTTGAAATATTCTCATCTTTTTTTTATCATCACATTTTGGCTGTTGTGCCCTCCAACCTTCCTCAGGTGTATATTGATCTGGATAACACACAGAGAATTCTGAACTGAAATCTTTATTTAATCTACAGGGGTAGACTGTTCTCATCCTACTGACCATGTCTATCTTGTTTAGTTCTTTGAAATGTGATAATAACAAAGATGAGGACAATAGTACAATTGTGAATAATGTGAATAATGTTCTTGGGTTACTTTAACAATCATATACAAACAAGATCACTGATAATATGCCATTTTTAATTTTGTTATTCTGTCATGTAGGTTTGAACTGTGGGAATGGTATTCATGCTTTTAGCAATCTTAAAATGCTGTTTATTGTGGTGAAACTGTACAAGATACAAGAGGTGATATTGCTACTTCAAGACTAATATTTCAATGATTGGGAGCTCAAAAGTTTTCAGTGTCACCTAGAAACCATTTTAGAAAAGAAAATCTGATGTAAGGTTGAATTTTGGGTACTAAGTCCTAGAACTTTTCGGCACTTTCTTATTTTAATATTTAATCAACATGGTTTAATTTTCTTCAGAATTCAAAAATGTTCTTTTGTTTTATATATTTGCATTTTTATTTGTAAATGATTTGCAATGTTATTACATTTGATTAAAATTAATTTTCTTTTTTCTTCTTCCCTGATGGATGAAATTGCAGAATACAGTAATCGGTATCACTTGGTGATAGGTGAAACCCATTTTAACATTAACCGTTTTTGAACTTTAAAAAAAAAGAAAATAGAAGTCTATACTTGTCCTCTAAGATGAAAACAAAGCCTGAATTAACATGAATGCTTTTTTCTTTGCAGAAAACCAGAAAAGGGCCTCCGCTTTCTCATAGAGCGTGGTTTTGTTGATCAATCTCCACCAAATATCGCCAAATTTCTGATTACCCGAAAGGGACTTAGCAAACAGATGATTGGGGAGTACCTTGGGAATTTACAGATTCAATTAAATCAAGATGTCTTAGAGTAAGTACTTGAGATTTTTTACTTTATCTGGACATATAGATGCCTGTATAGATCTTTTAATGTGTGTATTTACAATGTTGAAATGTTTCTATGTGTTATGTTTGATATCATTTGTAGCCTTTCCTTTACTTGATAATGAATCTTTAGGATTCATGAGATATAAACTCCAAACATTATCATCACACTGAGACGTTGGTTGCTAATTTATAGCATTAATAAAATACTTGCACACAGGTTGGTTGGTCAGAGGTTATGATAATAAAGTTCAGTACTGTTCATTTGAAAATTCAGGACTCGTATTACAATTAGCACCAAGTGACATGGTATACAAAAGGTATTTATTTATATACCACCTCCTCATTCCAGTAGAATGTGACACATGGTCAAGTTTAAAGTGGATTAGTAGTGCATTTGTAAGGGGACAAAAAATTGTTAAGCCCCCTTGGTACTTGCCAGTTTTGGAGACACCACAGTTGCTAAGTAATGACTCAAGCTCCCTGCTGAAGAAGTAGAGCCTTGAAGGATGTTCCCCTGGGTGCATGATATTAAGTTTCAGGCCCCCTGGGCCACAAAGGTTTCATATTTAGTTTAATACTAGTGTTAAAGTCCTTGGCCAAACATACTTCACAAAATCTGACCAAAAATCAGATTTTTTTTTTTTTTTTTTTTTTTTTTGGTTTGACTGAAAACTTTTTAGCACCCTTTATTATGAGAATGGAAAATCTAAACAAATTATCATTAAATAAAAGGAAATCACTATATTAGAGGAAATGAAAATTGGACTTTGGTTTTCTATATTATTCTGGACAGCATATTGGGTAATTTGCCATGACAGATTCTTTTGGCTAATAGTCATATATGAATAAAGCAATTAAAATCTTTGCTTGCACATAGTCTATAAATTTGATTAAATGATGCATTACTTTTCTAATTGACTATCTTGTGGTGGTGTGTGTGTGTGTTTTTTTTTTTTTGTTGTTTTTTTTTTTTTTTTTTTGTGTGGGGGTGTTATAATATACATAAATCAAATTTGTCCAATTGGGCTATTTCTCCTTTTTTACTTTATCTTCCAAATTACTTTGCACATACACACATTTATCATTATATTGCTTTATTCAATTCTTAACACTATTAAGTAAAGACTTTCAATAAAGAAAATGTGTAATATAAATAATGTACATAGCTGATCGAGTGACTGGTTGATAAAGACAACAGACTTCCAGAAACACAGGAACAGCATTGCATTTTGAAATTTAAAGAAAACCACATACTTTTAGGTATTTAATTTGTGGACATATTTATTTCAAATCACCTGTAAAAATGAGTTTTCTTTCAAAGAATCTTTCCTTTGGAATTCAGGTAGAATTAAATTAAGTATTAAAGGATTCTTCTTCCCCCTCTTGATAGCACTGATAATGCTGATTACCTTATATTGACCAATACAAAAAGGAAAATTTGTATCATAATTATAACAACATGGTCAAAAAAGTATTAATGAATTATTACTGATATATCAATATTTTCTAATACAAATTTTCTGTTAATTTAATAAAAAAAAAAATCGGTTGTCTCTCCCCAACTATTCTTGTTTGTTGCCTTTACCCCTTTTTTTGAATTCTTCTGCCATAGCAAAAGTGAATGAACTTTTTTCAACTTTCAAATCATTTGACCTTATCGCCTGGAATAAGGCAAAGTGAACTCTATTTAAATGACTTGAATGTTCTGTTTCTTTAAAATATAAATATACAATGTTTACATTAGTCACCCAATTCACTTAGAACAAAATGGAGGGGGCTAAAAAAATAAAATAAAATCCATTCTCTCTTAAATTGGCTGAAAAAATATTGATAAAGTCGACTGATCTGTCTAGCTGTTCTGTTCAGTGCAAAAAGTTTTTTTTTCTTTTGTTAATTGGAGATTATCATTCAATAGTGTTAGATTTATTCAATGCAAAAAAAAAAAAAAAAGAAAAAAAACCATCCCCCATAACCCAGATATGTTGAATAGGATCTCCTATTAGTGAATAACTGATAAGAGCCCATATTCAACATCTGTTATTGACTGTATTTTCTTCTCATTAATGATATCTAAACAAGGTAAAGGTAGCAAATAAAATATTACAAATGTAAAATAAGCAGGAAAAAAAAAGTTCTCCACAAGTAGTTTTTATTTAAATTCTGGTGGACTTTGAATAAAATCAAGACTGTTAACTTAAAAATAGACAATTTAATTATATATTTTCTTTTTAAATGGCATATTAATATATGTATATATATTTACTTTCAATTTAGAAAATTTCAAGTTTGTTCTTATATGCTCTTAAGAAAAGGTTTTAATTAAACTTTGTAGTCTTTACAGCAATAAAATCCTAGCTGAATAGGGTAGAAACATGGTCTTATACCAGACTTAGATATGTACTTCAATATCATGAATACAGGATAAAATTGATCAATTTTAAATATTGATTGTTCAAAAAAAGATGTCTGAATTTCTGAGATGAGGAGTTGTCATTATTTACACTATTTACATTTGGACTATTATCCTCATCTTTGTTGTTGTTATCACAACATTGCAGCTATTGTACCCTCCAGCCTTTGTCAGGAGTATACCAATCCAGTTAATCTACAAAGAACTCCAAACTGAACCCTTTAATCTTTAGGAATAGACTGTTCTCGTTCCCCCTGCCTATGTCTAGAAATATCTTGTTCTTATTTTTAGTACTGCTCAGTTATTGATTGCTTGTCCTGTTTCCACCAAGTCCAAGTACATACTACTCAGCCCAGGGATTGAACTTAGAATTACTATGTCACCAAATTCACAAACCAATGCCTTGAACCCACTAGTCTATTGTCCCATAAGACAAAAGCCTAGATTTTGAAAAAAAAAAACAAAATTTTATCATTTGTACAAACTGCTAGTTTTTGTTGCTCCTTGTAATTTTTTTTACCCTTTTATCATTTTTATTTATCTTGATCTTCCATCCATTCTTACAAATTCCTGGAGATTATTCATTGTTTCCCTCTGCTTCTTTTGCCTTCCATATGTCTTTTGATGGTTAATCTTGTTTTTATCTTTCTTAAGACTTCCCCATTGCTAACAAGTTTTTCCATCAGGCGTAGTGAAAGTGTAAATGATGCAAGTATAGCTCAATGGTTAAAGCAAAGAATTGCCAATTGAAATATTATATGGTCTACCTTAAGTGATACTTTCCTAAAAGTAAATATTGTTTTTATACCATGACAAAGAAGCGTGTCCTTGGAGTCAGTATTGTGAGCATGAAGTCAGTTCTTTCAAGGGAATATGAATTAGCACATGGGTGAATTGTGAAATGATTGCCTGGTTAATTTTCACAGAGACAAACTCCCCCACTCCCAAAACTATTGGTATTTACTTAGCTTAGTCTGGCAGAAAGCCAGTTGTAATATCCTGCTAGCCCCTTACATACCTCCCCATCTCTGGGCTATAATTCTCCTGGGGAAAAAAGATGACTGGATCTCTTTATCTGACAATATACATTGTTCTCATTCTTTGCAAGGTTTTAATCTGATATCCTGTCCTTCCAAGAGATTTGAACTTACAACTAATTTCTGATAATCCTTACTATTGTTTGTAGTATTCTGTTGCTACTATTTTCCTGCTCTGTCCACTCCATAAATTGAACTCTTCATACAAAAATCAGGCTGTTTTACTTACATCATCAGATTAAAAATCTTTGTATAGTTACTGCAAAACAGAGATGCTAAGAAACCTCTTGGAATGAGAACAGTTACCAAAAATAACCTTTGACTCATAATTTAATGATCACTGCTAGACCATACCACAGTTTTGTCTGTATGAGATTAACTTTTTAATGTGTGCTTGTATGTAAAGTTGCTAGGATGTGAGAATTAGAAGAATTGTACTAAAATGTAATCCAAATATATTGGTTCTTATTTGGTGGACTGAAGAAATAACAAGCCCTTGCCACTCTATTAATAATTTTTCTTTCTTCACAATTAAGTGATATTTTATCTGGTCATGATTTTTTTTTTCTCCCCATAGAATGCACAACTTCCAATACAAACATTAGTTCATTTTACTGGAATAATAGATAGTTGTTGAAAACCAGACATGTATGTCCATGTATAAAGAATACCATATGTATAGCAGTGAAAGGATGTTTCCTCTTCTTTTAATTTTTATATAGCTAGATATTGTAATTAATTATTCTTATTATTAATAGTAGTATACAAATAGAAGCCCCATGACACAGATGTTTTTGAAAGAAAAATGAAAAAACAAACTTGTTAAGCAGTAATTTGTTAGGAATTAATAAGAAACTGATATTTGTTTTTTTTTCCTCTCTTTTTGTATTGACTTTTCATAATCGTGCCAACAATTAAGTTTTCATCATGTGGTAATTTGGAGATTTTAACATTGTACAAAAATGTCTGCATTAGAATTAAAAAAAAAAAAAAAAAAAAAAAATTCTTCATTTGTAGATGAAGTATCTTTTATGTTTGCTTCCCCCCCCCAACCTTTTTTTTTTTTTTTTTTTAATTCATCTGCCACTTTTTGGAGGAAGAATGCATGGCTTCTCTATATATTTTTTTCCTCTTTTATTAGAATATCTTTTTGTTGGTTTGTATCTAATCAAGATCCATACACTTGGTGAAATGGATCTTTAACCAACTTAGACCCTTTTATTCTTTCACTTTCTGGCAGCCAATTTATCCTTATTTGAAACTCTGAAACCCAACTAAAGCCAAAATATATTTGACTTTTCTCAGTTTTTCTTTCATGAATTCTTTCTTTACTTTCATTAAATCTAAAACATTGTTTTGTGCTAGCAATTTAAATGAACTGATTTTGATGGTCTTGCTTGAAAATAGTTTTTTTTTATGATTGAAATTGAGTTTAAAAATGCTTTTTTAAAAATTTTCTATTTCATTTTGAACATGCACTTTGTCTACTAAAATATGTAAGAAATAATAGTTGCAGACTATTCTGTTCTAGAATTT